TCTCCAAATTCTCCTGTGTCGGAGTTCTTCAGCATTTTTCCAAGGCTTGTACCTGACGAGAACTCAAAGAACGTTTGTCAAGAACATTACTGCCATGCTGCTCTTCCTTGAGTTCGTCGGTATTTTGGAAGTGTTGCACCTTCGAGTCTTCGGACATAAAAAAATGACACTTTTTCCTATATTAAACACTTTTGGCATTTCTCCATGAGTGAGTTATATTCTGCCCGAACCATTGGTAAGAGAAAGAAGTACCCTTGCTGGCAAAGACAAAAAATAGTTGCCTTAGTTCGTCATTCATTGTACTCGTAATGAATTTCTCATGTACTTCTCTCACGTACATAAAACTCAAGCAAAATGGTATTTTGCTTTAAGAAGCTACCATCTTACTAAGAGCTAAAACTTATTTTATTGAATTTCAGCACAAAAAAATCATGAATTTCCTTAGATAGAAAAATAAAATTAGTTTATTTTTTTTATTTTGTATGTAAAGACAGATATGTCAACAACAGAAGAACACAACAACTCTATCGTTCATGAAGTATTAAATGAAGATACTGAGTACATACAGTTTAAACAAACAACTCGGTCTCATTCGTTCGCGTCAAAGACGATATTGTACCAGATGCAAAGTATTTTGACAGCATGTTTTACTCCAGATACTAGAAACCACTAATGACGATTTTGGGTTAAAACCCAAAGCACTATAATGAACTATTAATGTAGCGAAGCAACAGCTAGACGAATCTTTCGTGTCGCCAAAACTTCTTGAAAATGCGTGAAGAAAATTTGCCAACAGGTTGAGAGGATGTATGTACATGACTTCTTGTAAATTGCTGTTGCAATGTGGGCTTTCGCCTTTATGCTTTGGTATCATTTAACAGACTGCTTGACGAAATTCATAGACAAGAACGTGAAGAGATGGAAAACAAGCTTTTGAAAGCAAAAGATAAGCATTATGCAAGAAAGCAAAGGAAAGAATACCCTACGTTTCGGTACCAAAAGAAAGGAAAAGAGACTAGTTAAGTGATATTGATTTATACTTGAAAGATGAAATGAAGAAGACAGAGATATGGTTAATGTTGATTTAGTCAGAAGAAACAACAAAAGCTTTTACGACCTTGCTAAGATTTACAAATACTTTGACAGAAATTTGTTTCTAGTCGCGAACTTACCGATTTCAATGACACCAATGAAGATGTGGAAACAAATAGTTCTAAGATTATCGTTCCTCAAACACCTCAATGATATAAAGGTTGTACAATTACTTACTTTCAAGAAGACTTACCGCTACCTGAAGAAAAAATAACAGAATTATTTGACAACTTCAAAACAAGCAGAGTAAATGAATCTTTTTTTATTGACTTTTTACAATTTTAAACTTTGTTTGCGTAGATATGAATTCTGAAAGAGTTATGAGGGTCTTGTATGACTTTGTACTTCTCCATTAGTTTCATGTCTGTCAAAACTTACTGCCATGGACTCTTCATAAGTTCCATGAAATCGCTCTTCGTCGACAATCCGGGGGAAAAGTATGTGTATGTCAGTAAAGTATTCCTCTTTAACATCCTTACTAAACTCTTTGGCCTGTCTGTACACAATATGACACTGAGATGCTTAAGTGTCTGAGCTTTTAAGAATCGACACATGTCTTGTTCTCTGTTCTTTAACAAAGGAGAGAAGCAAAGTCTCATAAGATAAAAGACATCTATGCAGGTAAGTCTTCCAATCTAAGGATTGCAATTTTCTTCGAAATGGTATTCTTATCTCTTTCTGGTTTGGTTTCTGAAGTGTTTCTTCTCTAATATCTCTGCATTTTCCTCATTATGGCGTCTTTAACTAAATTTATATACTCATGTATAGCCATTGTACTCACAACACTCTTCTTTGGTACTTTCTTTATTCCAATCTAAACAAACTCAGAGTCCTTTATACATTACTAACATTTAGACTTCTTTATAATTATCTTTGAAACGACATGACGGTTGGTCAAATTGACCAGAAGATCGACAAATACAACTAACTCATAGAATGGGGTTCTTCTCATTCTAGTTCTTGATTGTTGTTGCAGCCATTTTAAAGATAAGTGAAAGTTCATATACCGACCAGGTGGTGCAATTAGGACCTGTTATACCATTCTTGACAAATAAGAACTTGTCATGTATAGGCTTTATCTGAGCATTTTCTAACTTTCCTCTTGCTTCTGTATTAAAACTCTCAAATTCTTTGTCATGTCAGCAACTTTTTTTAACATATTTTTTAGAAAATTAAAATTTTTATCTTATTTAGAAAAGTCTAGCGATTTCGCTCTATATTCGAGTACAAGCCTTTTCGACAGCAAAACATCTGTCGACCATAAAAATCTTACATAGTGAAAACAAGAAAGGTTGGAATTTGTTCTAAAGTTCTGTTTTTGGGAATATGACACAAGAACATAAAACATTAGAGCAGAATCAGTCTTAAATTGTCAATGACCAGGACTTGTTGGACAGAGCATGACGCCATTTGAAGATGATATCCAACAAAACGTTCTTACGAATGCCAAAAGAAGACACATGCGCTGTTCTTGAAGATGAATAGAAAACAGAATAGATGAGCTATTAAAGGACAAAGAACTTTTACATAATATGTTGCTGCCAAATGTGAATAACTCCACCAGAAAAGAAGAAGAAAAAAGAGAAAGAAAAGAAAGGTAGAAGAAGAGAAGAAGAACCTGAAACCAGTTCCAGAGAAAAAGAAATTTGACATTAAAAAATAAAATTTATATTTTAGAACATTCTGGGTCAATGTCAATTTCTCTTCTCTTTAGGAGCTAAACACTGGCTTAGACTCTAAAATCTTTTTACCCAAATTTACCTTGAACTTCTCAACTATCTTAGACTCATTAATATTCTAGTCGTCTGCTTTCTCTTAGGTTACATAAGTTTAACAAGTTTATGTATTGCCTTTGCCTTCTTTAAGTTAACCTTCTGTCAAAACTTTCTTGACTGTTAACAAACTTCTATGTCTAAGTCTTCAAATTTCGCACCATTTTTAGTCACAATAGCAAACTTAACTGGTTCGATGTTCAAACTTTGCTGAATAAAGACTTTTCAAAATGGTAGAAGATAAACATTCAAATATGTGAATGGGTCTAGTTCTTTCTTTAAGTCCTGACATGTACTTGTTTACTGAGATGAATTTTGCCAACTCTTTTTCTATCGGATAAAAAAATATTTTTTTTTAAAATTTACTCAGAAAAATTTTCTTTGTATTACACCATTCTGAACATCTAAAAAGACTTTTGACATTTGCCAAGATGTACGTTTAGAAGCTGCCATATAACCAGACTCTTGACAATATTGTTTATATTCATCTATAAGACTTTTCATCTAAACCTAAGTCGCTTTCTTCTATGAACAGGTTCATAAACACTTTTGTTTGCTTCTAACAATGTTTGTCTCTCTTCGGTATGTGGAATTTGTCTTGGATTGACTTAGAAATATCTTAATGTCATAAAGTATGAGAAAAAGTGGTTTGTAAAGTCAGATGTCAAAGTTTCTGCTAAGTCGTCAAAATATTCTGTATCTTGCATATGAGAATCTGACGTTCTGACAACTACATATCTTCTGTCAGAACTTTCTAACTCATCGGAACAGCATTGTTTGAAACCATAATGAAGTTTGCAACATTTTCACAAACTCTTTGGTCTTTATACTTTCTTTCAACAACTCCCACTTTGTCTGTTATAAGACTCTTCAAGCATCTGAGTTCAAAACTTTTCTGGTATCTATACTTTGAAGTTCATTGCAAACTATAAGTTTCATATTCTCATTTGAAGAGTTAAATTTGCGCACAGATTTTTCTAAGTTTTGTCATATTCAGGGTTCGAATCACCTTCTAATAGTTTTGCATAGATATCTGTAAAGAATGTGTTCTTACCTGTTCCTTGTTTTTCCAATTATAATGAGAGCAGTTTCATTTTTAGCACTTGGATGTTGTAAGATGTTTGCAAACCAACATAAGATATACTCATAAAACTTTTCGTTTCCATTTGCATATAATTTCTTTGACATGGTCTAACCAAGCTTCTATTAATATTTTTCATATCTTTTTTTACTTGTTCGTATTTATATCAGTGAAGATAGAATAGAGTTTGGAGAAGGTGTATAAACTTTATACCTCGAACTGAAAATCTTTCTAACTTTGACAATAAGATATCCCAAGCATCTAACAATCTTCATTCCAACTTGTACGACTTTTATTTCTTAAGTTTCTGTCTACATTCTTGTTCTGAACTATTGTTGCTCTTGGTTTGTTAAAGACAACATCCCATTCTTTCATGAACATAACATTCTGGGCAGATCAACATAAATGACTAAACGTTTCAAATCTCGACTGCTTTGTTATAG